CTGAAATAACAAATCATTTTCTTTTTTCCATTCTTCCTTTTCTTAATAAGTTAAAACATTTTTCGAGTGTGATATGGGTATCTCTGTATTTTTGTAAAATTAACAAAAAACAAAAAAAAAAAAAAAGAAAAAAGAAAAAAATAAAAAGAGAGAGAGAGAGAGAGAGAAAGAAAAAATAGTAGATTAATATTTACAATAGATTTTTCTACAATTTGCGATCAGTCAAAATCATTGAAAACTTTCATTGAATTTCTTATATAGTTAGGGACAACATGAAAGTCTGCCTATTCACGTGAAGTAGGTAAATAGAAAAGTTAGAGGTTCTATAAAGCAAAGTAAGAGTTTGACGTAAACGGGTCAACGGGTATACGTCGAAAGACCTTCCTCTATTGATAGTTCCGATAGTTACAATATACTATGCCATCGTAGAAAGTAATAAAAAAAAAACGAGTTACTCTCTTCCCCATAGATATTTAATAAATATATTAATGTCGTTTTCCATTACGAACTTGTCGTTTGAAGTAGATCGCGTCGAAATAAATATGCGTTCGTCTTTGTTAATAATAATAAAATTTCTCCTTCGAATGAGCAAAATTGAGGGAATAAAAAAAAAAAAAAAAGAAAAAAAGGAAAACTAAAAAAATAAATAAAAAGAAAAAAGGCAGAGAAGAAAGAGAGAGAGAGAGAGAGAGAGAGAGAGAGAGAGAGAGAGAGAGAGAGAAAAGAAATTACAAACGATTCATTTACAAATCGAATTTGCACGATCGTGTGAAAGATTTGTGAATTGATTTATATCTAAGAGAACAAATTAAATATTGCATGCGTAACATTGAAACAATTTCGAAATACAATTTTCATTTGAAATTTTCAACGATCTATCCACTTACGTATATATCTATGAGTGCGCGTATTTATCCACGTAGGATAACGTATGCACGTACGTGCATGAGAATGATGTAATTAATAATTAATAATTAACTGTTCGAATATTATTAAATTTTAGTTCGTTATTGTTGGTAAATAAGCGGGAGCATACATAACTTTTCATACGTAACTTCCGCTTACTAGCTCGCATTGTTTCAATATATTAGCGACAATTATTCGTATTAAAATAGCTACGAAAAAGATTTGATAAGAATATCGAGTCTCGATATTTTTACCATTCGAGATGTTACGATATCGATTTCGATTCAATTTTATTAATATAAATAGTACGGACAAGATGATCGAGAGAGATCGTTTCATGAACGTAAGAAGGCAAAAGAAAAAAAACAAAAAAAAAAAAAAACAAATAAATAATAATAAATAACAAGTAAAACAAGGGCAAAAAGAAAAAAATCGAAGAAAATGAAGGAGGGGAGAAAAAAAAATCATTCGCGTTTTCTAATGTCCAAATATCGAATTATAAGTCGTCGATAATAATCGATATAACTCGAGCGATTTCGATAAGTAAATCGACGGGATATGAAGCGTCGTGAGGAAGATTATAATTAAAAATTTTTTTTTTCGCGACGTGAAATCTTAAAATACGTCGCGTCTTCTCACTTTATTTTACCTCGACTACTATCCGTAAATAACTCTCATCCTCTTTCTCCCCTTTCCCGTCCACCCCCTCGCCCCATTTTCCTCCCACCATCATCCTGATTCTCTCCCCCCAATATATACGCAAATTAGCCGAACGCGCGTCGGTCGGTGATAGATATTGAACTCGATTACATTGAAATTTCTCAAGAGGGTACTCGGTTCAACGGCCGAGGCTAAACACTACCGATTATCGATTTTAGTTGGTAGTGCCTACGGTGGCAGATAGGTACGACGACCTATGACTACGTTAAGGGTTACGGGCTTGGAGTTGATAGGTGGGGATAGGGTGGGACTAACCGAGAGGAGAGGGAATGGGGAACGATTTGCTCGGCATGATCGGAATCCGACGTATCTCCAAAATTTGCACGTTTCGATCTGGATATCGTATATCGGACTCCCATAATCTCGAAATCGTCGTCGTTTATACGAGACGAGTGAATGTGTTTATGTATATGCATATAGATATAGATATATGTATGTATGTGTGTATGGGTGTGTATGTATGTGAGAGAGAGAGAGAGAGAATCTAAAGTAGTTTCGATAATAGCGAGTGAAATTCTATGATAGCTTGGTAAACGATCTAGAACGTTAGAAAACAAAGAGATACTGGTGATGACGCGTAAAGAGGTCACGCGAAGTGACCACCCTTGAAGACCCTCACCCCTTTATACCTTAACCTTCTTTTGTTCTCTCTCTCTTTCTCTCTATCGCTCTTGCTCTTGTATATTCTCTATTTAGAAAGAGAAAGAGAGGGAGAGAGAGAGAAAGAGAGTGAGATGTGCATTCTCTTCGTGCACCGATATACATACATTACTTACACTTGCTTAGCACAAACCATGTCTATCTATGTATGTATATATATATATGTACGTATATATGTAAATGAATGGGAGCTATGTGCCAGAGCCAATGGCATAATGCTTAGAACGTTGACTTCGTGACTCCAAGACGACTACTACTACTACTCGTTCTTTACGTGATAAAGACTCTCGGAGCTTTTTCGCGACGTGACCACTTATATATGTATGTATTTTGTATGTTACCTATGTCCTATTCTCGAGTGCGAAGAAAAAAGGAACAATAAAAAAAAAAAAAAAAGAAAAAAAAAAGAAAAAAAAAAGAAAAAAAAGAAATGAGAAAAAAAAATAGTGAGAAGAAAAAAAGTATTTTCCGATCGAAATGTGCTTTTAAAATGATCCTTCGAAAGATTCTTCAGTCTTTCTTACATATTTTCTTTTTTCTATTCTTTTCTTCTTTTGTTTCTTTTATCTCTCTTACTCTACTCTTTCTCTCTCTCTCTCTCTCTCTCTCTCTCTCTCTCTCTCTATCTTTCTCGTTTTTTTTTACTCAGTAAGTTTTTCTCCGTGATTACTCATGCAAATCTTTTTTTCAGAAATATACAGTGCCCGGATATAGGCAACACTTTATAACTCGGTACAATAAATGTTGCCTACCCTATGTCGTTTATCGATAAGACATATCTATATATATATCCTCTATTATTTTTTTGTTTTTTTTTTTCCTTATAAACCCCTGTATACATGTTACTCGTCTTTCCATACGAACGTTTATTAAGCGTATTGCCTTACATCAGGGGCAAGAAAAGAAAAATTTCCTCTTTATCGACAATGTATGATGCATTGACTCTATCTATCTAGTCTTTCTAATAGGCATGAGTACGTTTATAATTAATTATTCAATTAATTAATTATTCGTTAAAAAAAAATCTTTATTTTGATTCTTTTTCCGTTCAAAAAATAAATTGTAAATGTAAGAATTGAAAGAATGTTCTTACTAATAATGATTTAACAATTATAATTGTTCGGCAATACATTTTCGTTTTAGCAAATGCAAATGTACAAAATGTATATATACGCGTCGGCGCGTGTAACGCGGGTATAACGAACGAGCTTTCGTTTAACCGCGCCGGAAAGTACACCACCGCGTTTCCGTTACCGCGCTTTCGTGGCTTTTGCTCGGTCGCGTGTGCGTTCGCTCGAGCTTACACGACCTCTCGTATTCATTCTCTCTCTCTCTCTCTCTCTCTCTCTAGTTATACGCTTTTGTCGAGGTGCATACATATTGACGGTGGAAAAGCCACGAATAAGCGTATTGCTTCCTAGAGAACGTGTTCGATTAAATTCACGATTGTGTTTACTCCTTCGACGAATTTTTTTCTTTAATTTCAATGAATTAAATAAATTTTTCCATTTGAAAAAAATTAATCCATTCGAGAAACTTATTGATAACGTACGATCGTTAATTTTCTACTTGATAAAATAATAATAATAATAATAATAATAATAATAATAATAATAATAATAATAATAATAATAATAATAATAATAATAATAATAATCGACGTTACAAATTCGAAATGTAATAACTCTCCTTGTTCAGCAACGATATAAGCGTATAATTTTTGTGTTTGTAACTTTTCAAATTTGTCGTTTGCCTGTTTATTTATTTGGACGGTGAAAAAGAAGCAAAAAAGAGAGAATAAAAAGAAAAAAGAAAAAAAGGAAGAAAGAAAAAAAAAAAAAAAAAGAAAAAAAAAAGAAAAAGAAGAAGTAAAACGAGAAAACACGGATTACGTTTAAATTTACGTTTTAAATCCACGGGAATTGCGTCTTCGATACTTCGTTCGATGAATTTTCTTTTTCTTTCAATTCTTTCTTTTTTTTTCCTTTTTCTTTTCCTTTTTCATTTTTCCTATCGCAATCCTTCGGCGAATCGACAATCGTCGAAGAAAAATATTGTTTCATACGATGAGATCTAATTCTACTAATTGAATTTATAAAATATTCACAGGACAATCATTTTCCACTCGATAAAGTAATAATATTAAAGAATGACGATACTAACTCGAAATAAAATATTTCGCGTAACTATCGTTAAGGAGGAAGGACGGGTTGGGAGGGAGAGAGATGGGGGGGGGGAGGGGAGGGAGGAGGAGGGCGGTCTGAGTAACTTTGAAATTTTTCGCTTGTCGTGCTTGAATATTTTTCAACTATATCACTTCCAAGTATAGGGGCCATATTCGTTTCGGATACTTTCAACCTTTACGACATTTTCTAGATTCCTCTGTGAAACTTTTTACACTGGTTGTTTCCGTGGTATCATTTAATATCCGACGTTTCGAGGAAATGTACATTTCACGTTATTCGCCTCTGTAATTTTTTTCTTTTTTCTTCTATCTCTCCTTCTCTTTCTCTCTCTCTCTCTCTCTTTCTTTCTCTCTCTCTCTCTCTCTCTCTCTCTCTCTCTCTCTTCAATTTTTAATTAATCCCAATTTAAAATAATTTCAGGATATTACGAATCGTTATTATTAATGAAAATATATCTCCATGTAAAATCGAACGAACTTTCATTCAATACGATACGTTTCTATCGGTCTATTCTAATGAATAATACGA